GCATTTTGGAAAGGAATTCATAGCCAACTAAGCATATCTACAAGAATATATAGGAAGTGGCATGGTGGTCAAATGACTCATTTTCTTCTGCTAGTAGGAAGTATTTGGGGGGGGAAAGAAAAAAACCCAAAACAACCCCAACGAAAAAAACCCTCCCAAATCCCTGGTATAATGCACATTTTTAGCAATATACTGAACTGTCAGTCAGTCAATACTCTCTCAATACGTTAGAAAAGGTGAGCATCTCATCTGCACTAATTAAATTTCACTTGCTTGACCTAGAACACGAAGCTTCAGGACTTCTAGAGGCCTCCATAATATGGTTGTAAAGAAATATGACTTTTCAAATGTGGAAGTTCATTATTCGAGAATGTTTTACAACCCATTACTCCTAAAAGTCTATTATGTACGTTTCTTCCAGCATCTTTTATCAGGACTTTCTTTATATTCTCTATAGAAAACTCTTAGAAGAAAAAGCAAGAAGGTACACAAAATTCTTGCAGCCTTGTTACAAGCTGTCATACTGGCAATCATATTTTCACTAATGACACTTCAAGACATATTTTTAAATTACTCAAGAGAGCTATAGGGATTATGACCCTTGTTGCACTGTTAAATGTTGGCTCTTCTAGGCTTTTGGAAATCCTAGGACTCCTTCTTTTTCTTCACTTGGTGTACAGTTTGTGAGACTTCAGTAATTCAGGTTAGGTATAGTCAAACCAGAGTATTCCACAAGCCATTGTGAAAGGCGACCAGCATTTCAGCATCACATTTGAGAATGAAACAAGGGCACTGAATTCATCCTTTTTTGCCTGCCATTCTCCACCATTGCAGAAGTGCTAACAAACACATCACACAATTCATCAACTGCTTGATCTGCACTTCACATGAGCCTTCAAAACCTCCTCTGAGAACTTCGAGCCTGCAGCCCCCAGTGCAGAGGGCCCGAGCAGTCCTGGACACCTTTCTGTAGCTACTCAACTGAACCATGTCAGTCTGAATTGGAGCTTTGCAGAAGTCACTCTCAGAGATTTTCTTCTTCGTAACTTTACCTTAAAATGAAATGTATGATGCTGATCTGGTCCAAATACTTTTAAAAATATTTTTTCCTATGAGGAAATGGAGAAGCAGAAATGGGAAAGGAGGACTGAGAAAGATTTGGGGAAGAAGAGAGTTTGCTGTGATCGAGGGATGAAGAGAATGGACATAAGGACCAATGCAAGGATTGAAACAGGTAATGTAGCAGAAAGAATCTGAGATGGCTACAACTGGCATGATGATATTTAAAATATAGAAAGGAGGCAAATTTCATACCATGCTGTAATGAAGCCATTTTAAGGTAAAACAAAAGAAGAATCATAAGTCAGCCCGCAAAGCCTACTTTTTTTATCCTCTGTCTCCATGCATTTACAAAAAGAAGGAAACTGAGATCCAGTGATCAGATCAATGGTCTCTCCCAAAATTTAAGAAAGTATCAGTTTGCACAAACAATATAATTAATATGCTAGAAATTATATATTAAAAAAAAAAAAGAAAATAATGGTTTTTTCCCCCTTGTACAACCCCAGCCCTCCATTTTCCCTTTTTTGTGAATAGCAAACACTCCTTAGGAGTATCAAAATTGTATTCTCATCTCCTCTCAAGTCATCTGGAGCCTGAAGCGATCCTGAATGTCTGGGGAACTCCTCTCTTCCTGTGCCCTATGTTTCCCAGTGCAGACAAGATCTTCTGCTTGGAAGATCTCTCTCTTTGGAGGGGTCATTAATCCAATGTGGTTAAACATTGGAATCACAAAATTAAAATCTCTTAAGCTTCAAAGACAAAATTAAGGCACAGACAATGCATCTTCATGGTGGAAAGCTGACTACAGTACAAAAATCATCTGGCTTGTGTGGGACTGGCTAGGGAGGATGTGGAGCCTGCCTAAGGCAGCCTGACAGACGGGAAAGGCAACCTGCCTGGATGACACGGATGGTGGGGGCACAAGCCTGGTGCAGATACAGAGTGTGCTGCACAGTGAGCCATGTGTGTGACCCCCACCTGTGACACAGGCACTGCTACCACAGTTCACATGTGCCCCCACTGTCTGACAGGCTCCATGGGGCAAGAAGGGAATTATCATAGAGCAATGTAGGCACAGTATTTTCTGTACACTGCACAGTAAAGCTGACTGCAGTTAGGAATGGTCTGCCTACTTTTTTCCCCACACAGTCCAAATATTTTTAAATGGGATCATGAGATCCACTCCCACAAGACAGAAATCATGACAGGTGCTTGAAAACCACATATATTATTTTCCAGCTAGCCTCAATAATAGCAAATGCAAAACCAATCATTAAGGTGCTATGAAGAAATACACCGCTAATAAAAAATTTGCAGGAAGTTCAATAGCACAAAGCTTTACTAGCAGGATAGTGGGAGATTCATGGTATTTGTCCCTCTTCTAGAAAGTGAAGCTCAGGAAAACTGAAAAAATTTAAATAAATCTGCCGACAACAAAACTTGCAAAATGGAATACCAAGTGAAGGCCACACAACCTCTCTTTTACCTTAGTTAGGGAGCAGTTATCCCTAGAGACACATTTGTACCTTGTATTCAACGTGTTACGAACATCAGCCACCTCTATCCTTTCTGTAATTAAATCAAAAGTGGAGGGGGGGAACCCTCCTGACTACTACGTTTTTTAACATTTTCACTCACACATGTCACCAGTTTCTGCAGTTTCATCATCCATCCTTAAACCCACATGTCACGCTTATCTCCCACTTAACTTAACAAGCCCATCACAAGACCATCACTTCATCCTCATGCTGAAACTCAACAGAGCAGCAAGGAGACCAATGCCATGCCAGGCATCCATCAGCTGATCTCCTCGACCCAGATGCAGACAGCAAAATAGACAGGATCCATATCTGCATTTAATACCAGGAAGTATATAATCCTTTTTGGTTACTGCCAGCTCTCAGAAAAAAGTGATTATAGATTTTGAGAGTGTGCAGCTCCATTTTCTAGATCTTAAACGTTTGAAGCTACTGCATTTATCTTTTACTTCCTTCCCAACTTAGTATTATAGCACTCAAAGCCTACACAATAGATTTGCTGTTTTGTCAATATAAATTCCATCTTTGAAAAGTCTGTCTCATATAAGCAAAACAGTAAATTGAAAAATGAACAAAATGGTTAAATATAACATAGCTCTATAATGTGTTTTATATTTAATGCTGTCACCTTTTTTTATGTACAGACTGTAACATGTTGAGGGTGGGAGAGCATAAAGGGAGTGAAAAGTTAGATCCTACTACTCAAATACCAGATACAGTATTTGGATATAAACCAATTCTTTGTGAGGCTGAGACTGCTAGATGTGTTAAATCTCATGCTGATTCTCAGCAGATCAGACTATTTTTTTTAACTTCTTGGTAGGAGGCAAAAAAATCTTTAACAACATGTGAAGTTAGAAAGTAGGAATACACAGCCTGACAATTTTTCTAGAGGAAGGAAAAAAACAACGGTACCATTGTTTTCACCTGCAAATATTTTCAGAGACAAAATCTGCTTTTGTGTTTGTACTTCTGTTGCTCCTATAGGAGTAGAACATGACAAAATTGAAGACCAGGGGGGGCTTCATCCATGCGTGACAGAAAGTAGAATGCTGAAAAATTCAGTTTGGGTAGTTCTTAATTAAAGCTGTCAGTTCTGTTTTGGTCTCCTTCTGTGGCCTTACCAGAAGAAGCTTATCTGATCAACTATGTACAAAATGCAAAAAAGCACTTGGATCAGGAAACCTGTAATTAGAACAAGTATGAAGCAAATACACTATATATTCATGTATGTTTAAAATTGCCAGGTTGAAATGAGTCCTTTTCTATAACATTACATTTGCCTCATCTCCATTTCCGACTGATGACAAAAACCATGACAGCAATCCTAGAACTCAGTCTGAAATAAAGTAGTTCACTGTACAGGAACAAACTTATGGTACTAATTTCCAACAGCTAGAACATAAAATGTCAAAAAATGTCAAAACTGAATGAACTCTGTAAGGAAGTACTGGAGCAATTTAGACGACAGAGAAGGTTAATAAAATACAAGAGACTGAAAACGTATATGATACATAGAAATCAGATCAGGCATCAGAGAAAAATGTCACTTTGCATTTTATGTTTCTTTTGACAATTTTAAAGCCAGTCATGGACAATTCTCTTCCTGAAATTTCCTGCTTTCAATGTCTCTATTTACAACAAACTCACAGTATAAAAAGGTGATTTAATGAAAACCCACATGCTTAGAATATATAAAGATGGACTCAATATAAGGCACAATTCAATCCCAAATCTGATTACTAGAGAACATCATCAAGTTAATTCCCCATAAGATACATGAATCAAATGGTAAATTCTAGCGCTATTTGGCAAAATTTTCAGAAGTCGCTAAATGATCCTGTTAAATGTGTGCACTGTGGTTTCCATGCCACTTCTGATATTTTCAGTCACTACACTTTCTAAGAACCATGCCAATTTAGGTTCAGCACTTCTCCAGAAACTTCTATTTTGGACATTCTAAATGTCTTCTCAGAGATCTTTTTTGTCTAGCATGGCACAGTGTAAAGTGGAATTAAACTTGGGTGATCCACAGAAACCCACACTCGAGAAATGCACCCTGAGCAGACCAATGTAATCCCTGAAGTCCTCAGGAAATTCAGCTTGAATCACATTTGAATACAGTCATATGTTCAGATATGAAAAGGTACATGTGCTCTAGTAAGAGATTTGCATATGATGGGATGCAGAAGTATGCATCATCCCACCAAACAAAACCAGAGGGAGATACAACGGTCACAGCAGCCTTCACTCCCTCCCTAAAGTAAATCCACCCCAAAAGCAAGGTCAGTTCTGATTCTGTGTAGATCTGGTGTGTAAGACCATGATAATACTGAAATTAACCTTCCCTAGTAAGGCAAAGTCAGATATCACATATCATTTGTTATTAAGGCCTCCTACCTTTTCAGCTTCATATAATTTTCACTAGCTGCAGGTCTGCATTCAGCACGTTGCACCACTATTCCTTCCAAAGCAAGTTTATCTAGAATGAAAAGAAAATGAAGTAAATCTGGACATTAAAATAAGATCCACCAAGACAGTCAGCATTTGAATTATTTTTCACTAATTAAGAATTTACTAAATATAACATAATTCTAAGTTCTCGAACCAAGTTCTAAAATCTCTGCTATTTAGACACCAAAGAAATAAGCAGAAAAACATGTTTGCATAGCTGGTGTACCCTAGACGTCCTTGTTTTGCCTTCAGATGTTTTACATATTAAGAATGAATCACAGAGATCACATTTTAAATACGAGATTTCAACTCCTTTCTCTAGATGTTGCACTCAGATTATTATCTAGGAACTTTTTTGTAAATGGGCAATTAATACAATCAGTGACTATGAAAAAAATAATATACAAAGAGAATCCAATAATCAAAGTATCCAAAATTAGTGGAAGATAAAACAAAAGCTAACTTTATTCTTATTCTCTGGAAAATAGTACCACATTTTCCTCTTGTTACAATTTTTTTAGAAAGACATTAAAGGAACACAATGCAAAAAAAGTAATAATACAACAGATGGTAACATTCAGGGAAAAGAAGTAAAAGCTTTCAGTTAGTAATCTAGGACATCACATAAATGTATCTAGGTAATACTCCTCTCTGGATATTCACCACAACGTGAGGCAGTCACTTTGTTACCCTACGTGACCACCTTTTCCCTAAAGCAACGATGGCAGAGCAGTACCTGCCTACACCATAAAGGTAGGTAAACCCAAAAATTAAAAGCAACTTAATGCAGAAATGAAGAGAGAAGTGATGGTGGGGAGACTTCTTCACTTCTACTACAATGTTCTAGTGCATGATGTGTGGATGTGGGAGGAGCACATGTCAATTAATCCATCTGTTTTGGGCATAGCCAGCGCAAGATGTGTTAAACAAACACCTCTGGAACAGCCTTGCATACAAGAAAGGATGAGTTTTAAAGGCTTGATTAGCTCCCCGTATTAAAATATCCTTCCAAGAGCACTACATTGTCATTGTCACCTTCTGCTGGCAATGTCATAGAAGATGACAGAAACACTTAGAAATACTGATGTCCAAGTAACCCAGGGCACTCTGAGATATCTCCGGATTTCCTAGCACTTTATAGACTGAAATATTACTATATCTGCACATCTAAGTCTGCTCTCCCTGAATAATGCCAGAAGCAATTACTTAGACATCACGTATTTTAAAACTATTTAATCTAAAATTTATTGGATTGATTCAAACAAAATCTTTGAAAGCAGTAAGAAAGCCATATTTTTTCAGATAGGTTTGAATGAAATGCAAGAAAATTTGTTTTAAAACACTTGTGATTTTGCAGATTCCCAGCTTAATGGTCAAAAGAGACAACTTGACAAATTTGCCTGACTTCCTGTATATCACAGACAGAAAAATTGTATGGTCTTCCTACTTTACAGAATCTAGTAACTTATTTGTAGCCAAAGTGGTACTAATATTGCTGCTTAGTTTCTAATAAGATTTCGGCTTCAGCTTCTAGCAGTTGGTTCTTCTCATGACTTTCTATACTATGGTAAAGAGTCTTTCAGTACCTGGTGTCTTATCCCTTTGAAAGTACTTATAAATCATTATCAAGTTGCTTCTCAATCACCTTTTCAATAAATGAACGGATTTAAGCTCATGCATTCTCGTTGCAAGACATTTTTGCCATACTTAAATCAGTCCGAGGTTTCTTATTTGCATCTTGTTCAATCTCAAAATGATGTTTTAAAATAACAGAGACCAGAAGCCAGACATAACACCACTGAACTGATTTTATAAAAACCATACATGGAAGTAAAACAACAGATACAGAAGCTGGAATTTCTCTCACCTCACTTAAGCCATTTGAATGTTATTCAGAATCTATGAATTCAGCAGAGAGAGGGAGGAAGGGAGACTGTCAGGAAAAAAATGGTCCCATCTCTTTTAGAATTAAATTATTTTCCAGTGGGGTTTTTTTCTAAGTTTTTTTTTGGAGGAGGGGGCACACTGTGTCTGTGTCCCATGACTGCTTCATGCCTAGATGGCTAAAACTGGGTTAAGATCAATTTGTCTCTAAAAACCAAGTTCTGGGGGTTTGTGGAGTTGACTGGCTATTATATTACCAACACAACTATTCTGAGTCTTTTCTAAGCCTCACATTTTTACCTAGGTGCTCTGCATTGCCTAGGTGTATAATTGCCTTTGGCTTGGTGAAATCACATTGTCTCTAAAACAGATTCTGTGAATTAAGCAATTCCAGTCACACTATGGCAGTCCTGTCATAGTTACTCACTGTCTGACCTGCATTTGTGTCAATCACGACACATTTTATAAGCAGTGATTCTCACCATGTCCTTCTTGCTAATCCTGGAGTAAGCTCTTCAAACTACAACTCAAGAGGCTTCCTACTCATAATTCCTTTCTGATAACTGTCAGCTAGTTTTTAATTTTGTTCTGTGCTTGTTTTAGTTTCTTTTTTAATATAAATCAGAATGCCACAAGGATCTAGACTATGTGCAATAGGAAATGTTAAGCACGCTGCAAATGTGCTGTTACTTTAAACTCATAATCTTCAAAACAAACAAAATGAGGTTTGTGGGACCAGAAAAACTTCACATAAAGCCATGTTTGCTAGCATTCATTACATTCCAATCTTAGATACCTCTTCAACTCCATAAAAATTTTTCTGCTCACTTCAATGGTAGAGGTTTCAAGGCTAGCTGACCTATATTCATATGAACCATCTAACCCAGCTGTCTGAACACTGACATGTCACTATCAATCTCCCTGCTCCTTGCACAATTTTCAAATTATTTTTATGTTTCAAGGATCAGGATCAGTTAAGTTCCTACCCACTATTTAGAAAATGAACATGCCAATTAAACGTGTTTATCCTTAATATTACCACAGAATCACATAACAGTTTGGGTTAGAAGGGGACTTAAAAATCACTCAGTTCCAACCCCCCTGTCATGATCAGTAACACCTTCCACTAGACCAGGCTGCTCAAAGCCCCATCCAACCTGTCCTTTAACACTGTCGGGGTTAGGGAATCCACAACTTCTCTGGTATCCAATCTTTGATGTCTTGGTTAATACCCTCTTTTAATTACCACTGATCCAGATTTGACTTTTGCAGTCAAGTCCAGACAAAATGTTCTAATCACTTAATGTACAAGGCTGTGCATAGTCTCCCAAACACCACCTTGCAGCTAAGCTTGTTTGCTGTCTAAGAGCATCCACTGTCCAAACACCAAAGCTTATGTCCCACTTTCCCTGGACCCTCTTTGGGATTTTAGCACAACCTTAGAGTCAAGCAGAATACACAAAGATGCATGCAAACCTCTGGATGCAAGACTGTAGTGAGGGAACACATTTTTATTCCCTTTGTAGCCTAATTAGACCCCATTCACCAAACTCAAATTCAGAGACTTGGGTCTGTCTTCAACTGTTGCAGGACCAGAGATGCAATGAAAAGATATCCAAAAATGCTACACATCTGCCTTGATATTTCCATAGTCACATCAGCCTAGGAGGTAATGTATGACTAAGGCACGGAATTGCTAGTTTCCTGTTAAAAACACCTACTCAAAGTAGATAGTACAAAATATTAAATAGGTCTGAAAGACTAACTGAGATCAGTCATGGGAAGGGAAATAAGACATTTTCCCAAGAGCCTCACACTCTCAAATGCCCAGCATGTGCTGGCAGGAACAAAGTACCCTCTTAGTGCCGCTCCAGACAGGCTCCTCCACAGAACCCATACGTTCATCATTAGCTGCCAAGTGCATGCTCACCCTGTCCTCCCTGCCTGAATGCCCTGTTGCCAATTCATAAAGCAATTTCAACAATTGTCTCAGTGAGATGATAGATATGCTGGGGAGACACAGAATCCAGCTTGGAATCCTTTTGATAACCATTATCAATGAACAGAATATGGCAGAAACACTTAACCCAATGTTAATAAACGGGCAGGAGAGAAATTTACTGGAATTCTGCAGTAGATGGTCTGATAGGAGTTGGCTTGCTGTAGTTTTTAGAAAGAGAGAGATGGATTGGCTTGGAGATTTTAATGTATCAATCTTCTAGTCTGACTGCACTCAGCTTCGATTTCCAGTCACCGTCTTGCTGGACCATTGACTGCTAAGTTGAAGAGCATGCTAGGAAAGCATTTCTGCCCATCCAAGCACTTACACAGTCTCCCCCTTTATCAAGCCTAATAAAAATAAATCATGTTTTCTTGAACCTTCCATTATGTCAATTCTTCAGCTTCTTAATTGTTCTTACTAGCCTGAGAAAGTCCAGTTCGTGTACGTCTTTCCTGAGATATTATCTCTCATAGCCAGACTTGACAGCACGTGGGTCAGGTTCTGGAGCTCACCAAGTCCTCTGCCTTGTGAGCGGCGCCAAGGAAAAAAAGGAGAAGAAGACCACACTCAGGATGCATGGTACTCAGGCTGCAGGAAAAAGGAGATGAAAGGGTAGGAAGGCCAGGCTGTGGGCATGTGTGCCTTCCGCTCCTCAGCTGTTAGAAGATGGGCTGTTGCTTCCCAGCTGTCATGGTTTACCCCCAGCCAGCAAACAAGCCCCATGCAGCCACTCACTGCCCCACCAGCAGGATCAGGGAGAGAATCAGAAGGGTAAAAGCTGGAAAACTCATGGGCTGAGATAAAGACAGGGCTGTACCACATATAACAGTCACTTGGGAAGACAAATGCCATCACTCTAAATGTCCCCCCCTCTTCCTCCTTCTTCACCCACTTAATATACTGTGCATGGTGTCACATGGTCTGGGACATCCATTTGTCAGTTTGGGTCACCTGTCCTGGCTGTCTCATCTCTCAACCTCCAATGCACCGCTAACTTCCTTACCAGTGTGTCAGTACAAAAAGCAGAAAAACTCTTGGCTCTGTGTAATCCCTCTCAGCAATAACAAAAACATCTCTGCGCTATCAACCCTGTGTTCAGAACAAATCCAAAACAGCCCCATACCAGCCACGGTGAAGAAAGT